ATAAGAGTCAGGGGAGACAGCCAGGGGCTGTGGTGCACACCTCTAATCCCAGCACTTGGGAGGAAGAGGCAGGCGGATCTCTGTGAGTTCGAGGACAGCCTGAGCTACATAGAGAATTCCAGGACAGCTGGGGCTATAGGGAGACCCTGTCTCAAAAAACACACACATAAAAGAGGGGAGGAGGTGCATAACTTACAGGCTCTTGGACCTTTGCTCATATTATCGAACTTACAGCAATAGTGAAATCACTTACAAAACCTATGCAAACTCAAACAGACAAAAACCAGCATAAAACTGGGGAAATGGGTAGAAGGCCTCAATTTTATTGAGGAACTACTGGTAGCTGATCACTGCTGGGTGAGGGAGAGTTGATCTTTTTTAAAGGAGTGACACTAGATAGGCTGAACAGGCTCCAGTCGATGAAATCACACACCAAGGGACATCTGGGGACACAAATTTAACTCCATAGGCCTGAACACATATGACAAAATGCATGATGTCCTATGGGCAGCCTATATAGGGGATAGAGATAGGGAATGAGGAGCTAAATATAATTAAGATATAGTGTATGAAATCCACAAAATGCAACAAAAATAATTTTTAAAATAACAGTCACATCATATCTACATCAAGAGCCACAGAAAAATGAATGTATGCATGCTTACTACTCAGCTCACCGTGTCTACTCTTATATAGTCCAGGATTCAAACCCAGGGAATTGTGTCTCCCACAATGAGCTGGGTCTTCCCACATCAATTAACAAAATCAAGACATCCCTCACAGAAATGCCCATAGGCCAGACTAATCTAGACAATCCTTCACTGATACCCTCTTCCCAAGTGAGTCTAGGTTGTGTCAGACTGACATTAAAAACTAACCATCACACTCTCCCACACACACAAAAATGTACACTAGTATGTTGTTACAGTGGTAGTGGCCTCATGAGTCATCTTGTTTTTACCAAGGTTTTTGATTGCCCTATACCATCCAGGTTTGTGTAAATATATTGTATGATGTTCTCACAATGACAAAACTGTCTAACACATTTTCCAGAACATATCTCCATCATTCAATATCAACAGCATGCTGTTGACAGAGACAGACAGGAGGGGAAGGAAGAAATCAGACTTTTTTTTAAGTATTTTATTTTTATTGTATGTGTATGAGTGTATTGCCTGCATGTAGGTAAGTGCACCCGTGTCGTGCAATGCCCAAGGAGGACAGAAGAGGCGATCAGGTCCCTGGAACTGGAGTTTCACACAGTTGTTAGCTGCCATGTGGGTTCTGTGATTCAAACCCAGGTCTTCTGCAAGAACAGCCAGTGTTCTTAACCTCTGAGCCATCTCGCCAGTCCCAACTTTTTTTTTTTTTTTTTGAGACGGAGTCTCCCCGTAGCCCCAGCTATCCTGGAACTTGCTATGTAGACCAGGCTGGCCTCGAGCTCTGCCTGCCTCTGCCTCCTCCTGAGTGCTGGGATTAAAGGTATGCACCACCATGGCCCAGCTCAGCCCCAACTTTTTTTTTAAACAATCTTTAGCTAACTGGATGAAGTTTATTCACATTGTGGATAGTAAATTGACTTATTCAAATTCTACTGATTAAGTGTTTAGATCACTTAAAACTACTTCAACGGAAACAGGCAGAAGAGTGTTTGGTGAAATATCTAAATGTCATAACCTTGCTAAAGTGACACAACATCAACAGACATCAAGATAAATATGGTCCCTGTTCTTGTGTTGTTTATTCAAAAAGTCATCAATTCACCAGTCCTAGAACGTAGACATATTCAAGTGCAGAAAACTGAACTCAGGTCATATCCAAATAGCAAATATTGTAACCATCCTGGCAGAAATAGAGATACTCTAGAGATGTTTGTGCCCTTCCTTTAGTTATCAGATTACTGAAACAACGGACCCCTAGAAATCGAAATTTGCCCAGGAATCTCTTGCTGAGAAGAAAGAAAAGTCGAAATCCTGATGTCAGTCAGAGGGGGAACTCGTCTTCCAGAAAGATATTTCACACAGTTCTGGCAACTTGTCAGACCACCTTGCAGGAGAGACTGGAGCCCAGACAAGGATAGGTCAGTAACCACACCTTGACCAGGGCTTCTTACTTAAGCATATCTCTTACCCTCTGTTTAAACCTAAATTTCATGTTAAAAGCCCAGAAGATCAGAAGATGGGCTTGGGGCAGTGGGGGGGGGGTGTCATTGGACTTTTTTATTCCTCTCCCCAATGTGGCCACATTGAATAGATGTCCTTTCCTGGCTTGTTAGGGTGTTATCAGGGTCCAGGCTCTGACCTTAACAACTCCAGTACCATTGGTAAGTAGGGGAAAGAGTTCAAGATGTGTCTGGATGCCTAAACCTAGGGACATCAGGGAAGCAGCAAAAAGGGACTGTCTGGTAACTTTGAAGATAAACTAGAACTCATTCACACTTCTGCCTGGGTCATTACTATTCACTCTCCAAAACTAGTCCTCCAAGGGGTGGTCCCTTTTACCACTGGAGGACGGGAATGATCAGAGAGCTTTACAGAGGAGGTGATGTTTAGACTAAATGCTGAGTCACAGTTATAAGAACCTTTGGGAGGAAGAAGTACAAGGAAAGGCCACTGCAAACATTAGAGGCCAATGAAGTCATAAACAGAGACAGAAGGGAGTCTGACATTTGAGGAGGCACAAAGTACTCACTGTGGCCAGGGCACAGGGTACATGGGAGAACACTGAGAAACCAAAGAGTGGGGACATACACGTGCAGCTGTGTTTCTTGTGGGCAATTGGACCTAGAGGTGAGAAACCATGTTACCAGAAGGCAATATGATCATGTTGTGCTTTAAAGAGATTGTGCTGGGTCCCGACAGTCTTGGGGTGAACTACAGGGAACCAAGACTTGAACCAGTGACCATCAGTAGCAATTAAAGGATCCTGAAGAGGGACAACAAGGACTGATTGTGAGGCTGGAGCATGGGGAACACAGCAGAGTCAGAATAGCAAGAATGGATGCTGGGATGTAGCTCAGTGAGCAGAGTACATGATGTCCCTCAGTCTATCCCCAGCACCACATAAACTGGATGTGCTAACACATGCCTGTAAATCCAGCACTCAGGAGGTGGCGGCAGGAGGATAAGTTCAAGGTCATCCTCCAGTGTCTATGGATGGCCTGGAATACAGTAGACCCTGTCTAAAAAGCAATTTAAAAAGCTGGGATGGTGGCACATGCCTATATACTAGGTAGGAGTGAAGGCAAGAGGATCAGGTCAAGATCATCCTACAAAGGGTTTTCAGGCCAGCATGAATGATATGAAACCTTGTCTCCAAAAAAAGAAGAAAAAAGAAAGGAAGAAAGAGGAAGAGGATTTGAAAATTCCCCTACTTCCTCTCAAGCTGAGCATCATTTACAAGAATACCTTTTATAATTTATCCATAATCCAGGTGAATTGTAGCCAGAAGGCTTTTTTGAATACTTAGCTCCTATATTGAAGAGACTGAGCCAAAGGGAACATCCCCAAAGCAGAGACAAGGTTTTATCAAAGAACCTGGGGTCGATTTCCAGCATCCACATGGTGGCTAATAATTGTAACTCTGGTTCCAGAGAGTCCAACACCCTCTTCTGTCCTCTGAGGGCACTGCATGACATGGGTGCACTTACTCACATGCAGGCGTAACATACACATAAAATAAATTTTTTTAAAAGCAATAAAGAACTACTTTGCCCCACATTCCCCTAGTGACATGACTATGAGCCCCACTTTATGCTCCAATGGACACCCTCCAGAATCATACAGACCACCCTTACTTGAAATGCTTATGTCTTCTCTCCCTATGTACAGGCTGCGTGCAATAATCTGTTACTATAGGAAATGCATTATCTTATCTCTCGTTCAACTTCATATCCTCAGGATACAGTAGCTCTCAAGAAATGTTTGCTAAATGCATGGATGGATGGATGGATGGATGGATGGATGGATGGATGGATATGAAAAATAAAGACAACAGAGGGTAAAATATAACCCAAATGGCAAACACTTTTTATAAGATGAAACTTCTATCACTTTTTCAACCCAGCTCTCAATAAATGTTAAGTTTGAAAGAAAGAAAGAAAGAAAGAAAGAAAGAAAGAAAGAAAGAAAGAAAGAAAGAAAGAAAGAAAGAAAGAAAGGGAAGAGATAAAACATAGCCCAACAGTGGACACTTTGTACAAATAAAGATGAAACTTCCCCTACCACTTTTTCAACATGTTAAATTGTCATGAACAATTGTTAAATATTATTTAAAGACATGTAAATAGCTAACCAGAATAAAGAAATCATTAAAATTAGTTGTTTGTAGGTAATAAAACTGAATATAAGAAGAAATGAATCAGATCTATCATTTTCTTTAAAAGTCCTCTGAATTATTTTCTGTCTAATCATATGCTATTACATTTTTAACCTGTATCTTAATGGTAATAGCATATATCTTTAATCCCACCACTCAGGAGTAGGCAGAGGTAGATTCAGGTGGATCTCTATGAGATGAAGCCCAGCCTGGTCTACGTAGTGAGTTCCAAGTCAGCTAAAAAAATAAAATATTTATATACAAAGTCAATTCTTTTCTGGAGGCAGGGTCTCATGTATCTCAAGTTGGCCAGGAACTTGCTATGTAGCCAAGGATGACCTTGAACATCTGATCCTCCTGCCTCTACTCCTGAAGTGCTGGCTGAGATTACAAGTATGCACCAACATGCCTGGTTTATGTGGTGTTGGGGATGGAACCCAGGGCCCCATTCATACTAGGCAAGTATACTACCAACTGTGTTATACCCAAATTAATCAAAATTTGAGCTACTATGAAGCCACAGCAGCCTGCTGTACTTTTGACCTCAGAAGTTGAGCATAATCCTGTTTTGTTTTGTTTTTTTAAATTTTGTGCTGAGTCCTAGTTACCAAAGACTGTTGACCCAAAGCCAGGTAGATAAACAGAATCTTGAACTTTAATAGGGCAGTTCGAATGGACCAAGCCTGGGCTGGCCAGGTCTCTTTACTGGTACCTCAAGGTAGACATAAAGGGACTGAGTAAATCAATGGTTTTCATAGAGATCTCTTGATATCAGAATTTCTTTTTTCAAAACACTTGTCTCCTTGGATCCTGTGGAGATGAAAATTGACATCCACACTCATATTCTACCAAAGGAATGGCCTGATCTAGAAAAGGTAATGGTAATTAATGTGCTGGATTATTTCTGGAACTTCTCCAGGGTTTCTCAATACCTCTATTTATAGATCTTTCTCTTCTCTAGAGAACTGAGTGTTATGCTTCTTTGTTCTTGGGGATGTAATTTTTAAATTCTGTGGTAGCACTAATTTCCTAGTTTTTAAAGACTTGTACATTCATTTCAAAAAAGTACTGGATCAAAGAAACAAGGGCCTTCTTGAAGTCCTTCATTTCTCCTCACATGACACATCCTTTCAAACGTCTGGGCAATTTAAGTCAAGCGGCTTTATTTCCTTTTAAATCATGTATTCAGCTGCTGGAAAGATACCTGCCAACTACAGAATCTAAAGTTACTATTGCAACTAAAAGACCATTAAAAAATAGAATGTGGTCGGTTTCCAAAATGTTTAAAATAAGTTTTAGAAGCATCAGGAGATAGCTTTGTGAAATGTCTTTTTAGTCTATTTCAGGACATTGTCTGAAATCTTTCCTGTTTGATCTTTAAGCTGTAAACCCTCGTTAGGAAAAACTGGGAATCAGGTACCTTAGAAACCCCTAGAGAAAATGACATAAGTTTTGCACAATGAGTATTTCCAAAGAGTGTTCTCTGTAAAAAGAAAACAAGGTGGGGTGGACCTGTGGGTATGGCTCAGTAGTAGAGCACTTGCCTATCACGTGAAGCCATGGATTCCATCCCCAGCACTGAAAAAAAAAAAAAGTGTTCTCTATGTTTTTCTTTTTTTCTTTCTTTTTTTTTTTGGTCTGTTTTGAGACAGGGTGTCTCTGTAGCCCCAGCTGTCCTGAAACTCACTATGTAGACCAGGCTGGCCTTGAACTCACAGAGATCCGCCTGCCTCTGTCTCCCAAGTGCTGAGATCAAAGGCGTGCACCACCACGCCTGGCTCTGTGTTTTTCTAAAGCTGGAAATTTCATTTAAGACATTTTAAAGCTGTTGTCAGCACATGGAGGCAGAAAATTACATAGTGAGTTCCAGACCAGGAAGGAAGGAAGAAGAAAAAGAGGAGAGGGAGGGAGGGAGGGAGGGAGGGAGGGAAGGGTACTGAAAGAGGAAAGTGGGAAACATAAAGGAAACTTTCACCTGCTCAGAAGTTTACTTAGGCTCAGTGTGGGGTTTTGCCCAGTCTTTCATACTCTGCTAGTGCTTTCACGTCACTGCTGTTCCATATTTCTTTATCCAAAGTGAGAAAAAAAATGAATTAACCCAAACTCTAACTAAAATGCAATTCATTATGCAAGTAAATTTTCTTCTCACAGTTAGTTCATGAGAGAACGTTAATCTCAGGCTGCAGTTGTAGCTCAGCAGGGTGCTTATCTACCATACACAAGACCTTGGGTTGGATTGCCAGCACAGCATAAATTAGGCCCATGCCTGTCATCCCTGCATTTAGGAGGTGGAAGCAAGAGGATTAGAAGTTCAAAGTTGTCCTCTGCAATATAAGGAGCGCAAAGCCAAGCTAGAGTATGTGAAATTGTCTCTCAAGGGAAAAAAAAAAACAACTGTTAATCTCAAGAGTTTCTTTGTTCATTGGTATTGTAAGTGATTGAGATGGGTGTAGAAATTGCAGATTGAAATGTGTAAATGGTACTAAACTGTCTCTTTGAAAGCTATCATGGCTAATGAGAAAAGAACTCTGTTGACCTCACACCCTCAGTGGAATCTGTCTGCATGGGAACTGGCTGTTCTGGACTTGCTGTCTGTTTACATCTTGTAAGAGCGTAAACACCATTTCCAATGTTAATGATTTTATGAAGGGAATATGCCCACCACATCATAGGCGCTCCTGGCTGCTTTGGAAACTACTGGCAATATCTTTCTTCTTTCTTTTTTCTTTCAACCCCTGACTTATGAGGAGATATCTGATGAATGCTACAATGAATGAATTATTTATGAAACATAAATTATACTCCCTAATCTGAGAGTTTTAGAAAAAAAACCTCAAATTTATGGCTTCTTGATATATTGGCAGCAGGGAGTGTTAACTCTGTCACAGTTTTTCTTTATGTTTGAGCCTCAAAGAAAACCCACATATAATGGCTTAGAGCTCCCATGGTGGCCTCTATCCCAGAACTTCTTAAACGTTTCTCACTCATGACCCCTTTCTGTCAAGAAGCTTTGATACCACCCAGGGTATGCAAGCATATAAAATAATGCTACAAATGAAACACTTAGAAAAATTTATTTTAAAGCAATTCTTTACTATGCATATAATTTTACCATTTATTAAAGGTGAAAGCAAATTCACATACTAATGAGATGGATATGTTCAATTTTACATAAAGAATTAAATCTTGGCTGAATATTTGATACTGCAGGATGGAGAGTCATCTTCAACATTTTTCAGAATTTGATTGATATTTTGATCTTATAGTTGTCAATGTTAAGAATGTCATGTCACATAAATATAAAGTGGTAAACATATGTTTAGGGCCATTTCAGAAATTGTTAGAAATTCTGTCCTAATCCCAAGACAAATTTCTTTGAACCTTTTTTTCTCTCTTTTTTTTTGGGGGGGGGGTTCTTTTTGAGACAGGGTCTCCCTGTAGCCCCAGCTGTCCTGGAACTCACTATATAGACCAGGCTGGCCTTGAACTCACAGAGATCCGCCTGCCTCTGCCCTGAACCATTTTTAAGAAACTCAAGTCAGAGGCCATGTATGGTGGCACACGTCTTTAATCCCAGCACTAAGGAGGCATAAAGCAGAAAGGAAGGAAGGAAGGAAGGAAGGAAGGAAGGAAGGAAGGAAGGAAGGAAGGAAGGAAGGAAGGAAGGAAGGAAGGAAGGAAGGAAGGAAGGAAGGAAGGAAGGAAGGAAGGAAGGAAGGAAGGAAGGAAGGAAGGAAGGAAGGAAGGAAGGAAGGAAGGAAGGAAGGAAGGAGAGAAAGATAAGTTCAAATCAACAAATCAAGTAGGGTTTTTTTGAGACCAGATCTTTCATGTAGCCCAGGCTGGCCTCTTGTTAGAACCAAGAATGACCTTGAACTCCTGACCTTCCTGCCTTTGCCTCATGAGTGCTAAGATTACAGACATAAGCCACCATGCCCAGTTTATATGGTGCTAGGGATCAATCCCAGAACTTTGTACATGCAAGGCAAGCACTCTACCAACTGAGTTACATTTTCAGCCCTCAGACAGAAATATTTAAAATCAAACATTCTAACATAATACAACCCAAAAATGTACTAATAAGATACTTACAAGCTGGTGAAAGATGGTAGGAAAATATTGAAATATTTCCATAATGAATCCATTATGTTTCTATAAGACCAGAAAACGTATGTACAATAATATGACTCATGATTTGCTCTGCAATTCATCACATGTAATAGTCTCAGTTCTGTACCTAGGTGTTTCAGACAGTGTTCACTGGCATCACACGGCTGACCGCATGCACAGTACAAAGTACAAGTGTTGTGTGTTCAGGTTGCCATGAAGTTGCAAAATGCTATATCAACAAATACTGCTGGAAACACCATGGATTCATTATGCCTTTCACTTTTAATTAATTTTTGTTCATGTTTCATTGTTGCCAAATATTTTGCAACTACCACATGCAGTTATGTGACCCCACATGGGATCATGACCCGCAGTTTAAGAATTGGGCTCTAGAGGACCCTGCCCACCTGGACGCTCCCTGCATGACCCATCCACCTAGAGAATGTTACACCAGAAACACTTCCGTGATCCATGGTTTCCACCTCCATCAAATGGGAACCTTGAAAGAACTTAGAACATGCTACGATCTAGATATTATATCCTCCCAAAATTCCTATATTCAAATCCTTACTTGCAAGCAAGAGTCCACAGAGATGGGGCCTTTGGGAGGTGATTGTGATGAAGAATTGGATGATGACCTTATAGAATAAGCCTGAGGAAATGTGTGTGCCTTCTTTACTATGGGAGGCTCAGCAGAACTAGGGGACCAGCTCTCATCAGAGCCTGAATCTCCCGGCACCTTCATCTTGAACTTCCCAGCTTTCTGATACTATGAGAAATAAATGTCTGTTGTTTGTAAGTCTCTGGTGGATGGTACTGCTCCTGTAGCCCAAGTGGGCTAAAATAGAGAGAAAATGAGTTAAAATTAACATGTTTCTATTGCTAGAGGGATTTTCAGTTCTGTCCATAAGCAGGGGTGCGAAGAACCCAGATGCTTCATCCATTCTTTTCATATTCTTTACTCTTCTTCCTTCCTTTGCTCCTTTGTTCTTTCCTTCCTTTCTCCTTTTATTTATTTCTTTTCTTTTCCTTCATTCTTTATTCTTTCATGTGTCTGTGTGTCTGTGTGTCTGTGTGTCTGTGTCTGTGTGTATCTGTGTCTGTGTCTTTTCTATGTCTCACTATGTAGCCCAGGTTGGCCTCCAACTCATAATTCTCTTGGCCTCCCAAGTGCTGCATTATAGATGTGCATAACTACCCCCCAGCCTCTTGATGCAGTCTTAGTGTGGAATTTGGACTTAAGTCAGAACTCCCTCCTAACAATGTAAGCCAATGCCCACTGTGTCTGGGGAACATATTCTCCAGAGTCCTTGGAATGATCATCTTCTTATTAGGCCCCAATGAAACCCTCCATCTGAGCACTGGAGGCTGTTTCTCCAGTGCTCCACTAAGCCCTCAGTATAAAGGCCTTCACCATCATAAAGACCCAGAAGACCCTAATTGGAGCCTTATCTTTGCAGCTTTCTGTTAGAATACTGCTAAAATCTCACTTTCCATGACCTGCCCCACATTCCCAATCCTGTAACTCTCTGAAGCAGAGAACTGTCCATTTACATCTGACAGTTTCTAGGTGCCCCACTTCATACTGGGTCCTAAAGACACTGTTTATCTGCTTGGAAATCAGAAACAAAGAATTTGGGGTACATAGATGTGTATACTGGAGACTTCCTAAGCATATGTCTTGGTGGCTTTTTATACTGTCTTCTCCCCCTGTCACCAATTGCCTTGAAATAAGGAGGGGCATTTTGTCCCAGTAACCTTCTAACTCTGCAGTCTCACGTGCTGAAAACAGATAAAGGATGAATTTCTTAAGAGCAATTATAATAGTCACCGTACTTTGTGCTTAGAAATACGAAGGCGTAAGAGATACCACAGTCTGTAAAGTGCTTGCTGCACAAGCATGAGGACCTTAGTCAAATCCCCCAAACCCATGTAAAAAGCCAGGTGTGGTGGCATGCACCTGTAATCCCAGAACTGAAGAAGCAAGACAGGCAGATCCTGGGGCTTCTTGGCCATCCAGCCTATCCTAATTGGTGAGCCCCATGCCAGTGGGAGACCCTGCCTCAAAAAAACAAACTGGATGGTGCTTGAGGATGAACAATACTCGACAC